TGGACAGCACGTCGTAATGGCCGGTTCGAGACTGGCCGCCGGATTAGCTGTCGCGGGCTGACGACGTTATCGGTAGCTTTTTTCCTCTCGTTTTTGACTTATTCCCTTCATCCGATGTTGCACACCGTGCTTTATTCCGGGGAAATGGCGATGTGTAAATGGGACTCGAGGGAGAGATTAATGAGTGGTGGATTTTATTGTGAGAGGGTGAATGATGGCAGCAGAATCGGTGGAAACTTTCTATTAACTTTCTAAATAAAAAGAAATAAATAAATAAAATTGGAAAATTTACTTGAACGTATGAATAGGATGAAATTCTATGTCATTTCTTTGTGCGTGAAAAAAATATTTCAATCCAAATAAACGTAAGATAAATAATATTAGAAGCACGATATCTTTTGCCATTCTTTTTTCTCCTAGGAGCCCCATTCAATCACGATCCCATTCTCCCTCGAATTTCAAAAGCCACCAGTATACGTACACGATTTTTCGTCGCGTATTTTCTTATTAAACGCTTATCAATCGAGCAATGGCGCGCAAGAAAAAGAAAAAGAAAAAAAGCAAATACGTCGAAACGAAACAAGACGAGAGGAGACGAAAGCCTGGAACGACGCCTTTTAACGTTCGTGCGTTTCTTTCCAGGCGGACAGACGTGTCTGTCAACGTTCGACCGCTCAATCCGCGTGATTAACCTTCGACAGACCCTGTCGAGGACAATTTTCCACGATCGCAAGTTCGTTTAACCCGCTCCTCCTCCGGTACGCGTATCACGAACGAGAGAACACGAGCTGGAGAGGATCACGAGCCGGCCACACGGAATGGCGTGTTTTCCTTATTGGCTGATTGAATAATACATGGAACCGAATGGTATTAGAGCGGCTGAGCGCGACACGCGATGCCCACGACGCCTGTCATGTCGTGCGGGTCATGCGTCACGGTTTTGACGAGTTGTTTAGGCCGGCCCGATTTATCGACCACGTTCGACCGTGTTCCGGTTACGATTTCGTCCCTCTTTCTCTTTCGATGTTCCAACGATTAATGACAGTGGGCCGAGATAAGCTGTATTTACGTGGAATTAGTATCGCGGCTGATGGATCGTGCTTCGCGCGAGGATTACAGGCCTTAAAAATAATATTCGTCGAAATTGAATTACATATCGGGGAGGTTATTAAATGTTGTTAGGAGAGAGAGTTTATGATAAGGGGAGGGAAGAGGGGAAGGGGGAATATTATAAATTAATTACATAGGATATGTAGATGTAAAATCCTATGGAATTTATAATGACGGCTAATGGAAAAGTAACGGCAACTTTATTAATATTGCCTGTGTATACCTGAAATTTCTATCCAAGATGAAATAATTTGTTGAAAAATTTATTGAATAATCCGTGATTTCATCCTGTGCCTCTTGAAATCAAGGAGAGAAAGATAGGAGGACGTAACGATTCAATTTGAAATTCATTTCCAAAGGAACAATTTTCGTGAGTGAGAATTAATTTATAAATTTTCCATCCGAGAAGAGTATCGATCAAATGTAAGCTTTCGACCCTCTCCGCGGTTATCATCGCGCGGCGCGAAAACATTTCATCGCGATGGTTCCGTTTGTCGCGAATTTACATCAAGGAGAACAAGGGAGGCGGTTTCTCGACACGGGGCAACCTGGCATAAATCACAATGAGACGCAAGCCTCATTATACTTGCAGGCACTCGTGTAATTGCGACGGGCGTGTCCACGCGTATTTACCCGAGGAGATCTTGCGCCAACTCGCGAGCCCGATTTGCGTA